GGAGCAACAAGGTCAGGCGTGTAGTCAAAACAAAAACAAAAGTCACCACTTGCATGTGAATTGGGTAGTTTAACTTAATAATATAATACTTTTACAGCCTAATTCCCTCTTTCTTTTTTAGACGAAGTCTACAATCATTAATCACTTTTAACAGATTCTAATTTAAATGTTTGAAAAACGGCTTTTGTAACTAAAATAAAAACATAAAAACAAAAAAAATTCTCACAAACAGCTATGAAATATCAGATACAATAATGGACTCACAAATAAGCAGCAGATTTAAAAAGAAAAGCAAAGCTTTTTGTACTAATCTTTGGGTTTCAAAAACATACTAATTCAAAACTTATATTCACTAATGGTGTTTAAAACGTTTAACTGTGTCTAACACAATGTTCAAATGGCAAATTTCGCAAATTTAACTGAATAACTACTATGAAAAGCCAAAAATCCTAAAGCAGTAGCTTTGCTTCAGATTCAGAGCCAGAGCAGCGAAGGAGGGGGCCGTTTCCCTGACAACGGCAGCAGATAGAGATGTGCACACACAGGCAAAAAGATACAGAAGAATAACTTTCAAGATTACTTTGTTAAGCGAATATAACTGATGTTGTTCTTTATACTTTTGTCATCCAAATCTAGAAGTGATCACTTTCCACACTAGTAACAAAAGGCACTCTTTAGTGTTTAACGTTTCCCTTTTTATAATTACTTTTAATTTTACACCATGGTTTCTCTCAAAGGGACTTTAACCCTGAAGCTTCTTCTCAAAGGGACTTTAACCCCGAGGCTTTTCTCAAAGGGACTTTAACCCCGAGGCTCAAAGGGACTTTAACCCCGATACTTTCTCAAAGGGACTTTAACCCCGAGGCTCAAAGGGACTTTAACCCCGAGACTTCTTCAAAATACAATTTAGAGAGTTTGACAGACCCCAAAAACAGACCAAAATTTAGCTAATATCCAATTATGCAGACTTTACATTTAAAAAGGTGTCTGCTTACCTTATTCTTGTCAAACAGGTGCGCACGGACAGTCCGAGAGGTCTGCCAACTCTTTTCCGCGTCGGAATCTTCAATTTAAAAAACAAAAGTGACAGAAGCGACAAGAAGCATCCAGGAACAGCTCTTCCAGCCTGCTGGAATCCCCGCTCCCAGACACAGCATGCCGATCTCTCACGCCGAGGAAAAGAAACAGAGCAAACTCCCCCAAAACAATCCAGAGAATGGCACAAACCGAGCCGCGCATTCTCCACCAAATCTGTTAGGATTTAGGCAGACAGAGACGGATCGTGGTGTGCCAAACTCTGGAAGTTTATTTAAGTTTCTCTCAAGTTCCACTGGTTTACTCTGTTTCTTTCTCTCAGACAGAATAAAGGCAGTACACAGTTTATATAGTCATTGTCACGTCACACATCGAAAGACATACGTGTCACAAAGAGACAGTCACATCATAGTCATAACATGGAGTCCTTGTAGAGTCCTTGTACAGTCCTGCACGTAGGCCATATTGCTATCTAATACTAATACTTCTTCCATGAGCACTTCACTGTTATAGAATACATAGAGCAGGCATGCTACCATTGTCCATCTATATACAAGCTATATGGTTTTAATTGTGCTTTTTGGCTGAATGCTCATCACCACAAAACTAGTTAGCTTCAGCTATGTCTTCAAACTCTTATGTTTGGATTTCGAAACTCTTATGTTATTTAAAAAAGTGCTCATAGACAAAGTTTTGCTCCTACTCGCTCTGGCTTCTATTGACTTAACTCCTCTTCCTCAGTAACCATTAGTGTCACACTAATCATTAAGGCTTGAAGGCTCTCTCTGATCCTGGTGTTTATATTTTGAAATTGGCTTATTGTAAATCCAGATATGACTAATAAGATTCTTTCATTCATAGGGGAAACTCCAGCTTTGCTTAGCAACCACCTTAGAAACATGTCGGCACAATGGCTGAGTGGAGAGGCACTCTCGCCTCAAGAAGGTTCTGGGTTCAAATCCTGGTCGGAACGTGGCCTTTCTGAGTGGAGTTTGCATGTTCTCCCCGTGTCTGCGTAGGTTTCCTCCGGGTACTCCGGTTTCCCCTACCACTAAAAACATGTGCAATAGTTCAGGATAAATGTTGTGAGTGCAAATGTGGGATGGCTACAATCTGGAGTAATGTGTTCATTAACATGTACTGTCCCAAACAAATAAACAATAAATAAATGTCTGCCCCTGTTATGAAGCAAATGCCGTCAAAACAAATGCAGAACTTCATTAAGCTTATGCTCAGAGCCACAGTTCCATAATATGTTCATTTTAATATAATATTTATCATATTCATCATCTAGTCTGCATCAGATATCATGCACATATTTTTGACTTTTTAAACTCCCCTTTTAAAACAAAACTGACAGAGAAATTGGGCTGGAATAGGTGGAAGGTTGATCTGCAATTGAATTTAATTTCCTTTTTTTTTGAGACCTTGTGTGTGATACATACTAAGACCTTTACAGACTACGTGGGGCTCAAAAGGAGTATAGGCAGAAGCATCAAAACGCTTATGAAGGCCTACACCCGGCTTTATCACGCCATTATACAGCCACCATTATAACAATTTTTGTGTTTAAGTTTTACATAATATGCATCCTTTGAATTTGGAAGAAATGTATAAAGCAAATTCCTATTTAGAACTGCAGCTTACAGGCAGCTTCGTGATATTGCATTGATATTGGTAAACTGAACACTGAGACATTATCTGAACCGTAGTAAAAGTCAACATGCTGGAATAACAAATTATAGTCAAGAGATAAAAGTCCAAAATGCGATAATATGTCTGTATCAAAGCACTCTACTTGAACGGGTGAAGTGGAGGATGACATGACGTGAGCTTCTGGGGTTCTGGTCTCGTCCGATGATGGCCCGTCCGTGTCGTCAGATTGTCAATACGGCTCTCTAATTGAAAGTCATTGCCGTGCCACTTCCCATCAGCACCAATTCCAGACAGATTTGGAGATAATTGCACAATGAGAGCTTGGATCACCAGAGACAAACATTTTCCCTCTCATTAAGGCGCACATTAAAGATGATCCCCTCCTCGTCCCCACTCACGCTCTATCTAATCTAATTTACCGCGGAACAATTTAGCTGCCGTGATCCAGGGAGACTTGTACTCTGCAGCGAGAGACGAGTTTGATCTATCCTCCAGACTGAATTTGAATCACAGGGCTCCCATTATTTTAAGAACAAAGCTGCCAACCCTCCGAACAAGGGAAAAGCGTAGATGTCTTCTCTGACACCAGCGTGGGAGAGGCCTATTAGGGGATCTGTCGTTTCATGTGACACAGTAAGATGTCGCCCCTTGGACACAGAGGATATGACAGACTGGAGAACGGAGCACGAGAGAATAAAGTACGACTCAAAAGACACAAAGACAAAATAGTTAATTTACAGTTCAAATAAAATATCACAATTGATGGCAGTGTTTACACCTCATACGGAGTTGACGATAAGGGATTATGTTACTTCTTTATAGATTCGTTATAGTCATTATGGAAAAGACAATAGCGCGATTAACCCGGAGGTAAGCTGAAGATAAAGCATGCGTGCACAAAGAGCATCGGAAACGGGCTGTAATTGTGCTGCTCTCAGGAAATGTTTAGTGCGAAAATTGGATTGGGTTCATTTATCACAGTTAGCAGAGAGTGCTACAGTATTTACCTGGATCGTTGTGGAAGCTGGAAAATGGTGGCCTCCGTGGTAGACTGCATACTTAAGCAATACACGGTGAGTAGTCTCCCGGAAATACTTAACCCTGCACTGCAACATGATTTCTTACATTATTATGACTTTACAATTTGACTCAATCAGAAGTGCATGCCTTAAAGGTCCCATATGACGCTTTTCAACCTTAAACATGATTACAGTGCTATTTAGCTGTCATACACATGCCCAAAGTAGTTTTTTTTCAACAATTCCCTCAAGCTTTAGTTAGAGAGCAATCTTTCTCTTTCATTCTCGAGAGGCAGCAAAACGCCTTGTTTCAAAATCTCGACGTGGTACCAAATTATGATGTCAGAAGCCCGCCTCCAGGAGGTGATTGACAGCGGGGAGATACTGAACCAACCAATCAGTGCAGTCTATGATCAGCGCATGCAGCTTCTCTTCGAGTCCAGTGTATGGTCCAAAGACAGTAAATATTAGTTTGGTCCCGCGTCTACCTTCCATACACTGTGCTTTTTGTGTTAGCATCATGTCAAGTTGGAGAAAATGTGTTTTTGGATGTAAATATGTGACGACAGTATTTGCCCCAAGACATAGAATGAGGCGAATGGGGACTGACTTCACTCACGGGGATCTGGCTCTGAAGTACAATGCAAGTACTTACAGAGGGAAGAATTTCTCTTAAATTCCACCTGGCATGTTTGACTTTGCTCTTGAAATAGGCTCTGACAATTCAATGTGCAACACGCTTCCTTCCTTATTATTGCATGTGATTAGACTTTCAGATGTTGTTTAGCCCCACTGAAGAAAGCTTACACTTGTAATTCTCATCCTTATACTGCTGTATGAATCTGTGCACCATTTTTCTCTTTTTTTTTAATGCAGGAAATATGTCAGAGAAAAGATCAGTGGTATGTGAGTGTGCCTCCACATTTGAGAGCTGTCTCTGTGCAGGTGAAGACGTGTCCTCAGACCAATGCACCGCTGACAGTGACAGACTTCTGGCTTCTGCTCTAGCCTTTATTTTGCTGACTGACGGTAAATTCAGCGGCAGAGTGTGGCTCATCGTAAACAAGAAGCCGGGTGTCAGAGGTGGAGCGCGGGGGATTTAGAGCTGTCAGGGGATCTGCGCTAAAAGCCACATAAAGCCATGCTCATAAAAGAACAGGGCCTCAGCAGGTGTCAGACAGGAGCATACATGTAATGACTGTGCTGAAAGATACAGAGAGCACAGCTGCTCACATGGGGGCAGTGTTGCACCACCTGTCACTAGACACCTCATTCTCACATCCACCTCCATCACCCCCTCCTCTGCAGCTGCAGAGCCGTGCACTGGCGCCTGTGTTCCGCAGTGGGTCTCCTAAGGTCTTCTACACTGCTCTGTACCTTTATGAGACTGCAGAATGGAAGGACTCTGGAAAAGCCATGAGTAGTATTGTAGGCTATAGCAGGGTTAGTGGTTATTGCAACATCAGTGTCATTCTAGGAATTAGCATGATAAAATGATAAAAGAAGAACAGCAACAAATGCCATGTATTATTATTTTGTCTGTTGTGGTGTTGTGGCTATTTCTTTTGCAACAGTTGATTGATGGAAGCAAACATACTGATCTGCATCCATCTACCTGTGTTCCCCCTCACATTGCAACATCACAAGTCTGGCCAATGGATGGTCAACAGTTTTTCATTAGAGCTTTTGCAGCATCAGATTTTTCATAATCTTCCATTGAAGCTATACCTTGGGCCACAAAGCTTTTTAGATTAGACATAAATGAGCATTTTTAAGATGGCCACAACTAACTGTTGTAAATAATGGGCATCCCTCCATGAGTGAAATTGTATGAATGATTTTTGCCTTTTTAATGATTGATTGAATGGCTGGTCTCGAGGTTACTTAAGGACACACTCTCTGCCTGTGCAGTTTGTTGATTCAGGATGCTGAGCAGCCATTATTGAATTGTACTGTAACCCTGCCTTCTTAAACAGAGCTGTGTACACTTCCTCTTCTTACCTTGCAGCACACTCTCTCTCCCAGTGTGTGCGACTGAATTTCCATCTTCCACAGAAGCTGAAGTGTCCCCAGTGTTTTGGTCCACAGGTGGTAGGCGAGGCGCTGTGTGGCTCTATCACAGCGGGCTCTTTTCCTCAGCGCTTTGACAATCCCCATTGATTTGTGAGACAGCGGTGACGGCAGTGGCTGTTCCCCAGGCAGCCTGATCCCCGTCTGCTCTGAGAGGATGGTCATGTGAGGATAGGGCCGCTGGGTCTGTGTGTGTGTGTGTGCAATCTTTTATTAAACATGACCCTGTGTAAGGAGGAAACTGCTCTTCATCCACTCGCTCTGTATGTTTAAGTAGCAGAGAGGAGGGATGCCTACAAATGGATTTAAAAGTCAGTGCATCTGGAAACCTAATGAGGAATTAAAGACTTGCAAAGTGAGCACAGCAGGAGATACTTCCACTTGAATAACTCATGCCTATGATGAACTCAGCTTCATGTTTTGCATTTCCTTGACTTTTTAAAGGCTGCCTATACCATTAGACACAATATTATGGCCACAGACAGAAAAGGATAATCATTTGTTTGCTAATCCTCAAGGCACCTGCTTATAAGAGATATGCACCTGAACCATGGGGAAAACTCTAAGGCTGAGTTTACACGGAGACAATGTGGCAGTAAAACGGTATAGTTGGATATCGGTTGCTACCAACCGTTCATACGAAGACTGTGTTCCAGGGGGGTGAAAACGTAAGTGTTCAGATCCAGCCTGCAGAGTGGGACAACTCAGATACGCTGCACAGCAGGGAGCTTTTTCACACCCGCGAGAGGGAAAAGGTGTGAAATCCCCCTCTGCTCTGACCCCCGCCTCCCTGCTGCTCCCGCACGTAAATTTGGACATGCGCAGTAGCGGAGAACAAACATCAACAATAATGGCGCCGCCCACACAAACTAGCTACGTGGGCTTCCAGCGCGGGACAGAGGATAATTCTACTCCTTCGTTCGTCCAAACGAGACCACGCGAAGCTCTAGGTTCAGTTCCCATGTTCACAGCGGCTGTTAAAATGCAGAATGATGTTGGTACTTTCTGAGGGTCTGGTACAGGAAGTGAGTATACTGCCGAGAGGGGGGCTGGGCACGGGGCTGGGGGTCGTGTGTCGTGTTGTAAAGTTCCTCTGCCCACTACTGGCCGGGCGCTAGAACTACATCGTTTTTCAACCTCATGTGAACGCAGAGAAATTTGCATTAGGAGCCTGGTCGTTTCTGTTAATAGCCTGGAAACGTCTGCGCAGCGTCTCAGTATAAACAGGGCCTAAGTGGATGTATAATAAATACTCGAATATAGTCTTAATGGAGACATATTATGATTTTAAAGGAGACATATTACCTGTTTTTATTCTGATGTTTTGATTGTGTTTTTAACTTGCTGTAGCACCTTGAGATGTGCATTGCATATGTAAGGTGTTATTTATATGATTACATTATGGAAAATCAAACTTCTTGAGCTTTTATTCATGTGACAAAATAGTTCTCTCATCAATTGTTTTTAGATCGATCCACACTAATGTCAGGAACCTCTGTCACAAATGTGTAACTCCGCCCCTTCTGTCTAAAAGCTTCTGCCTCAGTCCTCTCATAGTATGATGTCATTGTACTACTATGACATCACACTTACAGCAGTTTTCCGCCTTTTTAAACACAAGCAGTTCAACAGAAACATAATTAGTTTTGGATATTTCTCAATTGAAACAACATTCTTTACAATCGCACGACTGTGTTTGCAGTAATTTGGGGGAAAAAATGAACTAAATCTACTCTTTTGGTGGTCCATATGGAAGTTACCCTTAATACTTGTTTCAGCATATACTTTCCACATTCACATTCTAAAACATGAAATGACAAAGTAAATAGTCTCATAATCATTTTAATGGCCAAAGATAATGCATAAAACATATTCTTTAAGTCATAACTTGATTTATGTTGGCAATAATACATTAAATTATATGAATTGACATGGCAAGGCAAGTTGATTTGTATAACAGAGTTCAGACACAAGGCAGCGAAGTACTGAACAAAACAAGCTAGAGACAGTCACACAAGGAATTATAAATAATCACAGTACATTGAAAAGAGATAAGATAAAATCCCTCAATGTTAATTTGTGCACTCATCCAGAACACACTTCATTTGTCAATTTATATTTCTCTTGAACCTGCAGATCATAAGCCGCAGGGCATAGCTTACTTTATTGGGATAATACATGTCTACAACAGGTGGACAAGATTGCATCTCAAACGCATTTTTCACAGTAATTGTGGTACATTTAACCACGGTCTGATCTTTCTCCACCTGCTGACCACCAAATCTCCTTTTCCCTATCTCCCCATCTCTGTAGCAGCCTCGCTCGGGTTGTTACAGTAAATCTCCCGGATAGACGGAGGGATTTAAAGATACTGACTCAAAGATCACAAAGTCCTCAACTATGAGTTAAAAGCGGGCTGGGTTTAAATGTATTTTAAAGATGACACCAAAGAAGTGTGAACCTGATAACACCAGACTTTTTCAGTTTACCCTCTTATCTGCAGCTCGGTTTTAATTTTCCACCACACGATTCCAGCATTCCTGTGGTTTAAGGAGTCCCTCTGGAGCCCATTTCCTGTCGCTCTCTTGGATGTAGCTTACAACACATGGAGATTGTTATATGTTCAAAAGGAAGACTGTTTCCTGGAGGGCTTCCTGGCTCTGGGACCATAACAAGCACAATCCCATTGACTGACCAAGCTCTATTCTAATACTGTAACCACTAATCAATAAGCAGCACTTCGAGTTTCAACACCTCAGTCGACTCCCCTTCATTCCGTAAAAGACCCAATGCTATTATTACATTGGTCAGTGTCTGATCACTTGCTCCGGTCACGTAACTGCCCACATAATCCCTTGCAATTAAACTATTAGAGTGTAATGAAAACGAGCAGGCCTGTCTCCTCTGCCGGACAAGTGGCAACATCTGTTCCATAAAAGGCACCCTATATAAACTCCCTAAAAAGTGAAGATCGGCTGTGCACCACAAAGCACATCATTGTCGTTTTAGCCATTAAAAAGGGCTGTTGCTGAAGGCAAGTGTGTTATGTAGAATATGTATCTGCAGGCTACAACAGATACTGAATACTAATATTTATTGCATAATATTATGTTTGGATATATAGAATTTCAACTTGGAAGAAAAAGTCGCAGATCATTTGATCCAGCAATATATTGTTATTACACTGTTAGTATGGATCTCCCTGTTGAACCGTGAATGGATCTCCCTGTTGAACCGTGTATGGATCTCCCTGTTGAACCGTGTATGGATCTCCCTGTTGAACCGTGAATGGATCTCCCTGTTGAACCGTCTGGCTTGGTGGGCGGCACGGTGGCTGAGTGGATAGCACTCTCGCCTCTCAGCAAGGAGGTCCTGGGTTCGAATCCCGGCCGGACCAGGGCCTTTCTGAGTGGAGTTTGCATGTTCTCCCCGTGTCTGCGTAGGTTTCCTCCGGGTGCTCCGGTTTCCCCTACCACTAAAAATATGCACAATAGGTATGGCATGTGCCTCCTGTACTGGCGACCCCACTCCCAACAATTGTAAACCGCTTTGAGACTCCGATGTGCAGTGAAAAGGCGGTATATAAATAAAAGCTTACTTACTTACTTACTTACTTACTTACTTGGTTTAAAACAGGACAGAAATAAGAAAAGGAAGATTGCAGAGCGCAGCAGCACTATCTTCATCTGGCAGCACTGCAGTGCAGACTCATGTTTTATGTCAAAGTCATTCCCTTCTCTGCCTTTTCTGTAAAAAACATGTACAAGAAGAGGCCCACTTGTATTCTTGGCTTAACTGAAAGAAATCCTTGGAAAAAACTGTGTTTTTCAAATTACTGGATGTGGTTAACGGCATACACTAAGATTTCAATTATTTTGTGAAAGTTGTACTTGGCTTGAATGTGCTAATACACATGTTAGACTGCCGAAGGAAAGCATTACTTCTCGGTCATTTAATGCAGGACTGCTTTGCTGTTTCTGCCATTTAGCCCACAGTCACTTTATATTACAGCTCTTTAAATCCCAGAGTGCAGCTATTGACAGGCGGCAGTAACCCGTTTGTCTGTGCATTTAAGCACTGAGTTGTAAATCATTAAGTAGATTTTTCATGGCAGCCACGCTGCTTAATGCCTGTGCTGCAGCCTAATGATTATGTGTGCAAGATAATAGGAAGGCCCAATGAATAATCATTCAATTAATGCCATCCACATCCAGCGCATGTCAATAAGTGTGAAATTAAACATGGCTGTCTTTCAGCAGCCATTATTAGCACATCTAATTAGTCAATTCAATAAAGCAATGTCTCATTTTCTCATTTGTTGGCATACAAATCGATGTCATTAGTAAGAGGAGATCTGAAATGCTCCAGTGAAATGCTACTGCCTCAGAAAGATGAACTATGGGCATGTTATAAGAGCTGCCTGTGCAGTTAATGACAGATGAGCAGTATTTTCTCTCAATACTTTTATCTTAAACATTGAAGTTGGAGTCTGTTGAATGAATATGATTAAAATATATTTCACATGCAGTTAATACTTTTCACAAGATACTGTTTTACAGCTTTTATTTCTCAGCGTACACGTATACACTTTTCTGTAGCACAGTTATTGGTGTTCAAATTGTATAATTGGAACATATTATTATTATCTTGAGCTCGACATTTCACAGCCTGAGCTATAGCAGATGAACAGAATAGAATGTGGGAGAAGAACTAACAAACAACACGATTAAAAATCTCCTCCCTCAGGACAGGACACGATGTCCAGAACAGCAGACACTCTTCAGACTGAACAAATGTGTCACTTGAAACATGTCGGGAATACAGGTGTTTGGACTTTTCAAACACACTTCTATCCGTTTTATTATATCAATTTTTATCTGATCCCTGACAAAGACGAGACCTCTAACAATCATCGATCATCATCAATAGTGTGGGAGGAACACGAAACATGGAGACACAACCAGGCAGATGTACTTTTAGCATCCATATCGTACAAATAGGTATCCAGCCCAATAATGACTCATGATGTTGGGAGAGAGCAGGTCAGCGCCGGGACCTCATCTCCACTTGATTTTATCTCTCACTTGCAGACTGGGGTCACAAGTCAAACAACTTGCTACATGCTAAGTCAAGCAGCACACTTGTGGGTCCTGCATGCTAATGAGCGCTGGCCTTATTCTAGGGAGAGATGGTAGGAAAGAACCATGTAATGTTAATGCATTTACATGGTTACATAGAGGCAGGGCAGTGTACTTGGGGAAAGTGACAGTATAAAAACTCAAGTGAATTAAGTGTTTGCTGTTTGCCACCTACAGGCAGTTCAGGGTGTCGCATTTTTGGCTTTGTACTAGTCCCTGGATTTTCATCGCACAGACTTCTACCATGTCATTTCTCCATCTGGACGGATTGAAGTTATGCAATCATCGCAAAAAATTTAGAATTTTGTCATCGTTTTCATGCAAGCGGTGGGGAATTTCCTCCATGTTTGATGCTCTCCTGACCACAGGCTCAGACCTACAGAGCTGAAACTCACATCACTAACAGTTGGTAATGGCCTGGGCGTGATGGTGTGAAAATACACACCTAATATGATTCTAGAGCGCCACCTATGGAAGGCTTCTCCAAACTTTTCCAATCTTCACCAAAGTTGCACAATCAAATCTTTACATCTGTACGAGCAAAATACTACTCTACGTAGAGGGTGCGTGTCCCGGAGGTGACCACTAGGGGCGCACTTTTTCATATTAATGAGCTTTTATGTATGTAATCCTGGTCAGATTGGGCTGCCAATTCGTCGGCGGGACGCTTGTGGGACTGGCGCCCAGGAGGCGTTCGCAAGAGTGTCGAGGCATTTCATTGCCGCTTGCGGCTTTAATTGTATCCATTTCTGTTATTGATTTTGAAGTCCTCTACAAAATCAATAACAGATTTCAGTTTCAGGGCTCCACTTTTTGTCTATTTCAAACAAACAAAAACAACTCTGGGTTAAATGAAGTGACGCTATACTGTATGTGCATAAATTGATAAAGACTTTTACGTATGCAAGTCAGATTTCTAACACTCAAGATTAAGATAAAGAGATCCTTCATTCGTCCCACAGTGGGGACATTTCAGTGTTGCATCGCAAGTTACACAACAGTAGGATGTGAAAAATAAATATCTTGTCTTTAGTTTAATCACAAAGAAATTACATAAAAACAACATGTTGCACAGTTTATTGTTACCTATTGTAACCTAATTTTCAAACCAAAAAAGATGCAACTGCAGTCTGGTGCACACTGGGGTAGTCTTGCACAGTTTTACCAATGTGGTTTTACTGCAAATGGCAAAAATATTATTGTGTCTTGTAATTAATAAAACCCAACTAACTATGGATTAGCATATCTTTTCATGCAGAAAAGTAGAAAAGAGCTCTCAGCCCAAATGGTCAAACAGTGACATAGAGCATATTGTTGACCGATTTTCTTCCTTCTGTTGGGACAAGCAACATGTATTCTTCATATTCAAGTTAGTGACCCCAGCTTTAAGACTTGCAGATGCTACACCTTTGCCTGGATTGCACACTATAAGAATACATGAGATATGAGTTAATCAATCAATCAATCAATCAATCAAATTTTATTTATAAAGCGCTTTTCATACATAAGATGCAACACAAAGTGCTTTACAGTTTGGTTAAAAACAATGCCGCCGACCCAAGACCCCTCCCCCAGACCACCCAACAGACCCACCCCAAACCACAGACAAACACACACACACGCGCTCATGAACACTCATACACACACACACACACACACACACACACACACACACACACACACACACACACACACACACACACAATAAAAACATGATGAGAGACTTGGCAGGGTTCAGATGCAACCAGCTGAAAAGCGTCATCCAAGGAGCCGTCTGCACCAGGAGCAGAGAGCCGCCCGTAGCCACAGGGGACGACACAGGATCTAGAGGAGACACGAAACCGAGGCCCCAGGCCCCCACCAGGCCCAAGAGTCCGACCCCCGCAGCCACACCGACCACTGCTCCCGGTGCAGAGGGCTCCTCCAGAGGAAACACTGGGTACACTAAAAACAATAAGTAAAACACTAAAATGTGAGACTAAAAGGAACACACAATACATGAATAATAGCAATAGCAATATAATAAATAATAAATAATAAAAGATAAATAGAATGGAATAATAAAAACTAATCAAAAGCTACTCTAAAAAGGTGCGTCTTGAGCCTACTTTTAAAAATATGAACGTTCTCTGCGGCCCTGAGCTCCTCCGGCAGACTGTTCCAGAGACGGGGGCCGTAGTGCTGGAAAGATGCCTTGCCGTGAGTGTGTGTCCTGACTTTGGGGATGGTTAGAAGTCTGCTGCCGGAGGAGCGCTGGGGCCGGGAAGGTTCATAGGATAAAAGCAAATCTGAAAGATAAGAAGGCCCAAGACCATTAAGACATTTAAAAACCATTAAAAGAACCTTAAAATCGATTCTGAAACACACGGGGAGCCAATGCAGCGATTTTAAAACCGGTGTAATGTGGTCCCGCCCCCTGGTCTTAGTTGATTGATTGATTGATTGATTGATTGATTGATATGAGTTAATGATGGATTGTGTGTTGAACAAATGCAAAATAAGACATGAATCAGGACTCATGGCAAAACCCCGACACACTCAGCTTCAAGAAACGATGTAAGAAATATGCAACGCGTATTCCAGAGAGAGAGTATAATATTTAGTTTCACGAGCGCCACATTTTTATAGGTCCCTCAGGACGTCTGCAATCATGAGAATGAAGCGTAACGCTGAGACAGGGCGACGTCAGGCTCAGTTTGAGGAGTTGGCCCCGGAGCTGCCCGCCACCTGCTCTGATTTCACACAGTCATGAAGAGGTGAGGAGGAGGGGGGATATTTCTGGACCCAACCCGGCTTGAGACATTAGAGCTAAAGATAAGGGGCAAGAGTGTCCCTTTACCTCTCTGTCTGGGTTAATACTGTAGGAGTCATGACCGGGGTGTCGTGATGGTCATCGTGTCTGCCCTCGCTGTACAGCCTGGAGGTCCGCTCAAAAGACTGAGGTGACAGAATGAATAAACACTAAAAAGTAAACTATAATCATCCATAACTGAGGAATGGACATGTTTTAAACCAAATGGACGGAGCAAACGTTTCTCAATAGTTTTATTTAAAGTAAAGCCATAATATAATTTCTATGGCAAGAAGCAGGTATCAGCAGGACAGTTGATGAATGCACCTTTTATAACCCTCTCAATCTCAAACTTAGAAATGATGACCAATCGGTTGCATTATAACTTTGACAGCTGAAGGGCAGGTGCCAATACTATTCTATGAGAAAGAATCCATTTTTGAAAGAAATTTGATCGTGAGTAGATTAAAAAACCCACCATATTATTCCTGTAAAGTCCTTTCTACTGTTAAACATTTCAAATATTGTCAACACTTCTAGAAACATGTATGAAAATATAATTATACTACAGCTGATATGAGCATATGTGGAACTTTGTGACAGTTATGGACCCAGGAATAGCAGAGAAATTAGAGGTCTGACTTTAGAATGTTACCATAGTTACCAGGAAAGATTTTCCAGCTGCCCTGCACCACAGTTTTTCTCAACTATAGGCTCTTTGTAATGTTGTGACACCTATTGTCATACACTTGTTCTAATACAAAAAAATTGACAGTGTTTGGTTCTGCTTGGCTTCTATTATGTTACATCAGGATTATAGATGACAATATATTCGAGAAAATACTTGGCGAAACATGAATTCAACTTACCTGTGTGTGCAGCCATGTCCCTATTGACCAAACACGACCTTTTGTTATGAATGAATGCCACTCTTCTCCCTGGACCGGTCGCCGTGCCTGCTTTAGTGACACTTCACGGTGCTGATGTGAGGCTGATGCTCTGTGACACCTGCTCTGGGCGGCTGCAGCAAATGGGCTCCTCTCTGTGGGAGCCGTGATCCACTTTAACACCCCACTCCGCTGTTCGTGAGGAGGTGGCATGCGTGAAGAGTAAGCAGAGACTAGAGTGGAGACTGATGATTCCTCACAAATGAATAGAAAACCCGTAGTGCGTGCATAGAGTCTTTATATTGGACAATGTGGAGTAATATCCAGTGTCTTCAGCATTTTCCCTTGGTGTCAGTCTCATTACTGCTCAATGCACAGCCCAAGGGCAGGCAGGGGAAATAAATGGTGTTGTCAGTGCGGCTGGTAATACAGTATGAGTGTGATGTCTCATTCTACGGTGTGGATGAAAACACGCCGTGGGCTAACAAAGCATCTCTGATACTGTACAGAACGCAGACAGTCTGCCATATGGTGCCGACGAGTTCCGCGGTGAGCCCAGATGAGCTACTGCTGCGGAGTAATTGTTTTCTTAATGGCAGCAGACAGCAGGAGAAGGCTTGACACGCCGCACTGGAAATAAATGTACAAGCAACACGGCTTTTGAGTGTAGGTGTCAGCGAGTAGGAATGAGGGCTGATTTTCAGGGTTAGTGGGCGCTACATGGACGTGGAAGAGACATATCATCAGTCCAAATAAATACAGTTTTACTTGGAGTCATGCTGTTTTATATGTCTATTTGTTAAGTAAGTAATCTTCATGTAGCATCGCATCTGCCCCTTATGGACCAATTGCTTTGTGCTTTTTAATTCTCTACTCTGTTTGGGCGAATTCAACGGTTTTGTGAAGTCTGCCGAGATCTTTACGATTGTTATTTAGAGCTATACAAGAATAAATTAGAAGTAGTGGATGTACAGTATATATATATATATGACCCAGAAATGGAATAAGGGGTCGAAAACGGATGGATGGCTGGATGGATACGTACATAGCGCATTTACACAGACCAATGTCATACAAACTACTTTAAAATGTTTGGGTGTAGTATGTACAATATGGATAATACCAGTGATAATGGAAGACGACTGGATTAGAATAGAAGATTTTGATACAGCTCTGTGGGAGGTGTGAGACGAGGAAATAGGCAATAATTGGCAGAGACTGATGATTACCGGCTGGTGCCATCATGTATTTCTAGTGAGAAAAATACAAATACATATGACAAAACAACATAACAATATGCAGATAATACCCCGGTCATATGACGTCACTGTATTAAAGGAGCAATATGTAAAAATCTGGCCAAAAGTGGTACTGCAGTCACAGTCAATATTTTGTAGTCCTCTCCCACTCTCCCTGACTCAGGTTGCCAGATTCACACCAAATCCAGCAGCAAACACAGGGAATTATGTTATCAGTTGTTTGTCCGTCTCCATTCACATTGCCATGACAGCCGTGCTAATGCTGAATGAATGTTTTGATTAATGTTTTTATTATTATTATTATTTGGACATTTGAGATAAAAAACAAAAACAAAATAAAAGCAATGTAATTATACATAGTTTATGCAAAATAAATAAGCAATTGATGTCCAAAATAGGAGTGGGAAGAATGGATGTTGGAACGTATTACTTCAGCGTATCAACATCAGGGTTTGCTCAAGAGGATATCACCTTTCAATTCTATTTATTCCCTATTTTTTAGACAAACATGTAAAAGTCCCACATCAAAAAGAGACTAACATTATTTGAATTGGGGTACATCTTAAATGATTATTTTTACAATTAAGCTATAATCTGCAAAAAAAACGTCTTGACCTTCATCTTTTACCGTTTTTAGAGCAATCTGTCATAGAATGTGATAACATGCAATAAATACAAAAAGACATAGCCCGGGATCGAACCCGGGTTTCTGCATCGTAAGCGCACAGTTTTGACCACTCGACTTCACACAGTTAGAGTCACTGTGAAGAACGGACTCAAACTAGAAAATTCTGCATCACACGTGAACTTTTATCAGCTGTCTCAATTGTTCAAAGGCGTCCCGATATAAATCCTCGTTTTAGTCTTTGTTTTGTCATTAATGATTTGAGAGTCATAACAAGACCTTTTTCAGTTCTGCGCCACATGTTATTTTACCTCTGAGATTAGTGAGCCGCGCGGAGTTCTGGCAACCCGATCACGGACTTACATAACACTTCCTGATTGGCGAAACGGCGGAGGGTAGGACATCAAAATCAAAACAATAACAACTTTTACGGGTCGTAAAACTAATTTTGATAATCAAATATCTCGGCTGAACTACTGTTATCAGTTAAAGATGAATTCGAAAAGAGTATGATTTAATAACGCCTTTTGAAATATTCGGGTCATTCAATGATGACTTGACATGCAAATATTACATATTGCTCCTTTAAAGCCATACTGTCTCTACACTCTATAGCTAGGTGCTAAGATGCTAATTAAAATTTGGCCAAACCCTCTAATCACGCGTCCAGTCCCTGAGCAGTGTGTGAGTTTATTAAGAAGTCATTTAAAGGGAGAGAGTATTTGAACGCTCACACTCCACTGGCCTGCTGTAATTCTGTGGACATGCGGCGGCCATGTTCTCATTAGTCCTAACCAAATCCCGGTGTGTGGGAATTAACCCCCGACACACACCTTTAAAATGTGCTGCTGTAATTGGTCGTATGCTTCCTATTTCCTGTGATGTTGCTTTGACTGCCTCACAGCTTGATTTTGTTTAAATCTCCGGAAGCCGTTTTCTATCTCGATAATGAGGTGAATCAGATTTATTTTAATGTTGTCTACAAATGGTTTGTTATATGATTGTAACACGTGAGAAAGCTTAAAAAAGTCAATACCTTCAAACAGGGAAACAAGACACCTGCTTCTCTATTAGTATCCGATACCGATATATTTACATTGATATCAGATTTTTTGATTGGATGAGGTATTAGCTATATGTAATAAGCTGCACAATATTATAACAACACTGCAATTATTGATATATTGCTACATACATATGATATCCAGTCCAAATATTTGTTCACTACTTTTTTCATTTGTGATTTTTTAACATGGTTTTGGTATATTTCTGGTATTTCTTTTTCTGAACAAAATAAGCACAGTTTATTATTTATTTCCAAACTTAGTTATTACCCTTTGCCTGATTCTTTAGAGTTACCCAAAAGGCAAAGGCAATAAAGATGTTTTCCTGAGATATTAAGCTTTAAAATGAGGTATAACTATGGTAACTCATACTAAGTTGCTATACTTGATTTTTGACTCCCATTTACCTAAAAAAGGTGCTAATTTACATATTACAAAACATTGCAATGTCAGTTTTTTTGGCACACCAGTAGCATTAACCCAGAATGCCATAGAATTTTCATACATACGTTTTCCATACATTCATTATTTACGTAGATAATTTTTAATGACACAAGTGGTTTATAGAGCATCAAGATTGATTATTGGAAAGAAAAAACTGGGTCAGAGCTTCCCTAAATACAGTAAAAAAAAAAATCCTCTCATACTAAAGCCAAGTGCCTACACCACACACTGTAACTATGGCTGGGATGTATATGCACATGTCTCTCATTAATTGACACATGTTTTTCTTTCATATATTTAGCAGCGGAAACCTGTTGCACATCCATTTTATTCCAAGCAAAAATCTATACGAGAACACGATTCAATAAATGCAGGTGAGCTCTGCGTCTACAAAACCACTGGCTCTTCTTCAGCTTGCTGTTTACGGTTGACTATCGATTTCCCGCAATAGTGAGGCTGACATGAAGCATTATCAACTTTTCTTTGTGATAAGAGGACCCCCACAGGACCGTGCATCAGGGGACGAAGAGCTCTGGCTGAGTTAAGCAGACCACTGTCTCCCCCATGACAGCAGAATCCATTTAACTCTCCGTAGCTTATCCTTTGTCCCTCTGGATTCAACCCGATGGGAAAGACCAGAGTCGAATGAACAATAAGAAGAGGAGCTTTTTCTTGCTTCGGTCTGGGGGGAAAAGAGGTTGATTGTAAGAGCTTACATTTTCTATATGTTATTTCACAATCGAGAAATGTGTTTGGCATAACATAACCATAAATGATTCTCAAATCCCAGTCACTTTAATTGTTCCTTGCCAGCATTTTATTCAGGTGAAATTTGTAAGGGGAAAATAATTAACTAGTCTGAGAAGAGTAATAACCTCAAGCTTCTAACGTCACATCACCACAACTCACATTCACAGCCGATGAGTTTCACCTTATTGTCTCATGCACCCTCTTTCCCATTCAAATGATCTACAATTCCATTTAATAAAACAACAAATTAAAGAAAGCTAGTACTGCTTAATTACCTGACGTGTTTTGGCAATTTCCCAGTCACGTTGCATGCAAAAGTATGAAGTCCATTAAACTACTACACTACTACAATATTTGCAAATATTTGTAAAGGTATATGAACTCGACAAACACAATTAGATTTGTGAGGTTTCTGTTGTGCAATCAAATGTTTCTTCTAAAATATACTCTCATGACCAAATGTTTTATGACAGAGTTGCTTTGAAAGTGTCTGCAAAAATCTCTTAACAAAAAAGTAAAATAAAACGAAGCTTCTGAATCCTAAAGAACCCTTTAAATACAATCTCAGGTCATAATGTGTGTCTTTTGTTGTTTCTCTAGCGGCGGTTGTGTATGAGTCCATAAGAATTGAGTTTTGTTTAAAGAGTGTGGGGAGAGTGCTGTCTGCTTCTTTGCTTTGGCTCTGAGCTTTCTCCCCGGCAAACATACATCTTCATAATCGTGGACGGCCATATTCTTCTGAACACGATGCCTCACTTCAGACGAGTATTAAAAAGTACAGATGACTATGCTGACCATGAAATATAAACCCCTTGTGTGTGTTGAGTTTCTCCAGATTGAACTGAGGCGTTGGGCTCTCTGTGCAGCTTTGTCATAGACCTAATAAAGCAACATTACACTTATTACGGTGTGTGGAGGGAATTAATACTGACATGTAAAGCGTCTTTGAGTGTCCACAAGCGCTATATAAAACTGATGCATTATTATTATTATTATTTACACCTTATTACATCTGCAATTTAATTCAGAACAGAGGTACAACCTGCCTCGGGACTATGGCTATGCAAATGA